GGGTTTAATATTTTTCCTAGAACTTTTTTTTTTTTTTTTTTTTTTTTTTGGTTTTTTTTAATTATTAAAAATAAAAAAAAAAAAAAAAAAAAAAAAAAAAAACAGGCAGCTGGGAAACCTCGAACTGGGGTGTTATATCTGAGATAAATCACATCTCTTAGAATCTCCTGGTGTTTGACATGAAGAGCATTAATGAAGAATCAATTGAAATTGTCAGTTTTGCTTAATCTTCTTCCATTAGTCTATTGGATAAAAATTATTAATATTTCAAGAGAATGCTTTCAGTAAAATGCTGTTTGGAGTGACTCTCATTTGTTAACGTGAACTGCTACAAGCATCCAAAATAAGTAAAGAACTTCTGTTTTTGCTTATTCTTTTATCTGCCTCAGTAGGCCAAATGATCCAGCTGTGGCTGTATCGTAGGATGGGATGGACCGTAGCATCTGGAGCACGTTCTGCACAGAGCTTGACTCTACATAGATGCAAAATTGCCATCAAAAAAGATCATCTGAGGATGTGAAGCTAAGGTTGGAGTATCTTGGTCTGCCCCCTATTTTCTCTTAATTTATCCAGAAAAAACCAATTTCTATCTATTTTACGAGTTCAAAATGAAATTCACAAGTATCTGTATTAGGTTTCCTCCAGTGAAACCTCCTGTTTTAATTGGGAAAGCGATGGTTCCCGTGAATGAGAGTCTTCCCATGCTGTTCAGATGAACCAGAGTCCATCCAGCATTGTGTTACTGAGTGAAAGGTTTTGGTCTTTAGAGAGCTGGAAACAGAACTCCTGTTGAAAATCAATTGAAGGAGGGTAGTTAACACATTGTGAAGGTCATTAATTTGGTTGCTACTTTTCTATTTCCTTCCAAACCTCTTTGTTTGCTCGTTCTGCCATCAACGGGCACGAGGAGATTTCTCAAGGATTGCTTTTGCTGAGCTTGTTGGAGTTTTAAATTTGTTTTGACTTAAGATCTAGTAGCAAGTCTTGTTTTTAATTTGCAGTGCAAGTTGATTGCATAATTGTGAAGCTGTTTGACATGTGTGATACAATTTGATTTGCATTCCTGCCAGTTTTCAACTGTAAGAAACAAAATCTGTTAGTAACAATTTTAGCAGGAGTCATTGGAGGGTTCTTACAGTTTGTTTCCATTTCCCAGAGATTGAAAGATGACATTCTTATAAAACTATTTGAACACTTCACATTCTTGTTTAGCTGAGCTGTATATGTTGATGTAAGTGGCTTTGATTTTTTCATGGGGAAAAAAAGAGTGAAAAAAATACATATTTCTATATATTATATATATATTAAAAATGCAGTATAGAATGGATGAAGCAATATAATGCTGACAGAAACAAGGACTTTTTTATTAAAAAAAAAAAAAATTGAATTATAGCAAATAGCCATTAGGATGTCTTGTGGAAAAGTGTGGACTGCATTGAAACCTGATTAGAAAACTTAAGAGCTATGATTATACTGGTATAGAGGTACTTTTGGCATGTGGAGGACAGCGAGGTGATTCAAGACAGCCAGTGTGGCTTCACCAAGGGCAGGTCCTGTCTGACTGACCTCGTGGCCTTCTGTGATGGAGTGACAAGTGACAGCAGCAGACAAGGGAAGAGCTATGGGTATTGTCTGTCTGAACTTCTGACGGTCCCCCCCAACAGCCTTCTCTCTAAATTGGAGAGATATGGATTTGATGGGTGGACTGTTTAACAGATGAGGAATTGGTTGGGTGGTTGCACCCAGAGGGTACCAGTCAATGGCTCAATGTCCAGATGGAGATTGGTGACCAGTGGTGTCCCTCAGGGGTCCATACTGGGATCAGCAGTGTTCAGTGTCTTCATCAATGACATGAACAGTGGGATTAATAGCACCCTGAGCAAGTTTGGGGATGACCCCAAGCTGAGTGGTGGGGTGGCAGGCCTAGGGGATAGCATGTCATCCAGAGGGACCTGGACAGGTTGGAGAGGTGGGTCTCTGTGAACCTCATGAGGTTCGCAAGGCCAAGGGCAGGGTCCTGCACCTGGTTTGGGGCAACCCCTGGTCCCAGCACAGGCTGGGGATGGAGGGACTGAGAGCAGACCTGAGGAGAAACTTTTGAGACAAACTTTTTATGGTGAGGGTGGTGAAACCCTGGCTTGAGACAAGCTTTTTATGGTGAGGGTGGTGAAACCCTGGCCCAGGTTGCTCAGAGAGCTGGTGGATGCCCCATCCCTGGAAACATCAAAGGTCAGGTTGGTCGGAGCTTTGAGCAACCTGGTCTCATTGAAGATGTCCCTGCTCAGTGCAGGGGTTTGGACTAGATAGGTTTTAAAGGTCCCTTCCAACCCAAACTATTCATGATTCTATGACTTTTTCCCTGGAAGGAATATACATAGAGTTGGTAAGGTGTTTGCCCCATGACCAGCAGGTCCTGCAAGTCTACGGAGGAGACATGGTCTTGTCTGTGCAGACAGCAGCTATATTCTGGCTGGCCTGTGCCTGTTACGCCACTGGAGTTTTTCTGATAATATGGCTCTGATTATCACTGATTGATTTATTTTTTTCCATTGTGCAGTAGCAGGGAGAATTGAAATAGCATTAATTCCTGAGTAGATTTTCCCTGGAAAAGCCACAGAATAAGCAGGTGATGCTATTGTGGAGAGAGGGGTAAAAAGCCACTGAACTGAAAGAAGTGCACAATCAGGCAGCAATACGGGGAGTTAAGGAGTTTTAGAGAATATACACCAATAGAAATGGCAATACAGGTGTGATTTCCACCAGTTCAGAGGGGGTGGCAAACTGTGCCGTGGAAGTGAGGTAACTGGCCAGAGCCCAGAAAGGGGATTCTGGAGATGTGGGGTCTTTCTGGTGCACGGGGAGCAGCTGGTTTAGAACCAGGCTGGGCTGTTTCAGATGATGCGTCTTCTTTAAGTTGTTACCAAACTGCGTGACCGTCACTTGCTCTAAATCACTATAAATTTATATAAAACATAGGACAGTAAAATACTACTTTGGTCACTCTCTGCGGTTCCCCACAATTGCAGGCAACTGTGAAATGATGCCTGCTCCACTTCAGCTTACAGAACTGACCACGAACCACAAACATGTTTATTTCAATACCCTATAAAAACCTAAAAGCAGCATAGTACAGGAGACCCACGTGTCCTCCTCTCCTGAAGAATCAGCGGGGCTGGTCACAGGTCTCCCAGCTGGGGATGCAGAGTAACGCAGCAGAGAATTCCATCACTAACATTTTAGAAGTTTCTCCCACTTTCTCTGGGAAGTTTCTGGAGATGTTTGCATGTGCTGCACACAGTCGTGCCTAGTAAAACTATCCTTCAAAAGGAGAATACAAAATACTGACAAAATAATCAAGGCGACACAAGGAAAAAACTTTGTGCCCGTTGCACTTCTGAAATCTGCAGCAGCTTTCAGGTGCACGGGTTGAATGCTGCTGTGGCAGATTAGTATTAATATTTTTAAATGTGCAATACCCCTGAAGACTGTAACCCTTAGACCTGTTGCTGATGGGGAGGTACATCAGCTGGTCACAAGATCCTCCCCCCGCGTATTTAATGGTCAGATAATATGTTCCAAACCAGGTATTTTTCACTTCATCCAAGTGGCTGAGGTCGAATTGTCTCCTTCATGCCAGTGACAATTTCTAGCCAGTTTTATTTTATAGCTGTGATTTTCCTGTGTGTCTGTGCTGTCTGCTTGCTCTGTTAGTTGAGTGTTATGGTATAGTAATGCTTTATGGTATAATAATGCAAACGATGGTTAACAACAGAGGGCCAAAACCATCAAAACACAACTTCTGTTCAATTAAAATACGCCCTGCTTTGAAAGTTTTTTAGCTTTATAAACTTTTGTTCATGTTTTAGAGAAATAATCTCGTATGAGATGAGGATTTTATCAGGAAAAATGATGCTGATTGTGTTGGCTTACCCTGTGTCAGGTTTACAGCGCAGGGGTGAGTGCCTGATAACTTTAATTAGAAGAGTTTTAATGCACCTGATGCACCTGGCAATGGAACTGCTGGAGGTGGAGATCTGCTGGAGGGTAGATACTCCAGCAGTGGGGATGGGCAGCAGAAGGCTGGGTTATTCATGGTTTCTGCTGCCGTAGCACATCCCCGAGGAGGAGAGGGAGACCCTGCTTGGGGGGGGCAGTGCAAAATGGGTATTTATTTCAAATGCAGATGGAAAAGCAAAGACCCAGAACAGTCACAGGTAACGGGATGGTAGTGCAGCTGATGGAGGAGATATATAGGGCTGGTGCAGCTACTATGGGATATGTATAGGGCTGGTACAGCTACTATAGGATATGTATGGGGTGGTACAGCTAATATAGGATATGTATAGGGCTGGTACAGCTACTATAGGATATGTATATGGGTGGTACAGCTACTATAGGATAGGAATAGGGCTGGTACAGCTACTATAGGAAACGCCTCTTTTTTATTTTTGTTGTTATTGTTAAAAGCAATAGCTAGAAGATTTCTTCTACATTCCAGTTGAAAAATACCATTAAGGCAGCTTGTGTTTTGTGGATAATTCGCGGGGAACAGGGTGCGTTCCTGCTTAGAGGGGAGCACACGGGGGTGTTTAACCCCTCCCGGCCCGGGGGGGGGGGGGGCACACGTGGGACTCGTCTCTTTACCCGGTTCGGGCCTAACTTCGTCCCGCGGTTCGGTGTTTCCTCTCGGGGGGTAGGAAGAGGGGTGTAAGTTTCACCCTTTCGGGGGCAGAACCTGGGTTTA